AAATTATTATTGTTAAATTACAATTATTATTTAATATTTTTATTATTATGATTATTCTCAATGTTTTAAAATGAAAGTAATAAAATTAAGAAATTCTATAAGTAGGAATTGGTATGTATTATATATAATTTTTTATATGTTATACCTTTTTAAAATCTAAACCAATTCTAATTTTAATTTTTTTTAAAAACAATTTATTACAGAAGCAAATTGAGTCTTAAATAAAAGCTTAAATAAGAGATGTGTTAGACGTAGTGTTTTTTATTCACTTGAAATAGTGAGTTCAGATTTTCTGCACGTAAACTGTCTGTACAATATCATTTTTTTATAATTTTAGATAAAATTATAAATTAGAAATTTTAGCAAATTTTTTTTAAAAATTGAAACAATTAAAATTTAAAATAAAATTCTACAGTAATGTTAACAAGGTTACTATGAGAGTTGTATATTTTGAACATCAAGCCCACTTCTTGTGCTTAATCAAATTAAATGAAATTAAAAAAAAAAAAAAAAAAAAAGAANAAAAAAAAAAAAAAAAAAAAAAAAAACAAGTCATATAAAAAGAATTTAAAGTTAATTCCAAAGAAAAAAGCAAAGAAAAATTTCATTTTAGTTACTTTTTATTAAATAATTAAAATATTTTCTCTAAATTTAATTCTAAATCTAATCTAAGATTAATTAAATAAATTTAACTAATGAATCAATATTTGAAAAAACTGAATTAACATCATCCACTACAAGTTCAAAAAAAAATGTGTTTGAACTTGAATGGAGGAATAAAAAGTATTTTATTAACGATTAAAAATTTGAACAAGATATGAAAATATAAAAATAGTAGGAACAAAATTAAATAATTTTAAATGTTAGCTTATTTATTACACCTAATTTTTTAGAATGATTCAGAATGAAAATTGATTATTATTACGTCGAATCTATATTATATATCATCTAATTGAACAAATAGATACACGAACCTAAACAAGTAAATAGAAGCAATATTGTTTAAACATTAGATATTTAAAATTTTGTGTGAGTGAACTGGAAGTAGAGTATCGATTACAAAAATCGATTTTAAGTCTTAATTTTTTTTTGTAATCAATTTTTGAAATTATCTGAGTATATTAGGGGGCTAAACCATTTGTTTGCTGCCTTTCGCCAATCCCGATGATTGAGTCGCATTAATTGGTGTTTTATGTCATAAAATAAATTTGTACGAAAATTAAAACTATTCACTTGTGAACTAAAAAAGAACTCCTACTTCTGTCAGAAGAACACGATTATATTAGTGAACAATTTTGCTTGGTAATCATTTTTAAAATTTAAGTTATATTTTTACTGTAATTTATAATTGTATACTTTATGTAATTTGTAGAAAAAAAAACAATGATTACAGAAGTATTGAAAAGTTTAGATACCGATAAGTTTATCTTAACATCGCTCTAAGGAAAATTCATAGAATTGCGTAGTAAAAAAACTCTTTTAAATTCAAAAAAGTGATATTAAAGTGCCATGAGAAAAATAAATACGTCAAAGGAAATTAATATGGGATATTTACCATGTGATTTTCCATAAAAACGCTAACGGAAAAACTGTGTTAAGTATATAACTCTTTAATAATAGCATAAAAAATGTGCGTTAGGAACACTGTTTGTCATGTGATCGAGTGCTCTTTGTGAATTATCAAAAGAGTAGAATTTTTTTCTAATATAATTTCGAGGAGCAGTGGTGACCCGGGGATAGAGCCTTCCAATGAGGTGAACCGTGTTCAAACCCCACTAATGGCTGGTCGATTCGAATTCCGCATCCTGCTGGCACCGACCACAGCGCTGACTTCTGCTGTCCAATGAGGCCTGGTCGACACGAATTCCTCATCCGGCTTGCACCGACCGAAGTGCTGGTGCAAAAATATTCTCAGTGGTAGAAGGATCATGGGAGGTTTTCGTGGTTTTCCTTTCCGTGTAACACAAAAGTTGGTTAGTTCCACCAAAAAGTTCTCCACGAAAGCGAATGTCTCCCATTACTTGAACCAGGAGTTCCTTCGTCATCTGGATTAGGTTCAAAATTAGAAGGCTGCGTAGTTGAACATTAGTAACCATAAGCCTAAAAATGGGTCGGCTGTTCAACGACGGTTATATAATAAAATAAAATGCAATTGTAAGGACAAAGAAAGTTTAGTTTTCGTTTAGATTTCGATAAAAGATAAAAAAGAGTTTATAGTTACAGATTTACTAATTACGTAAAACATTCTCTCATCGCTTATATTTATGAAAATACTGCAAACTTTCTATAAGAATGCGTCCGTAATATTTAAACGCGAAAAAAAATTAACTTTTTTCATCTTTTTTGTTAATTTATATAAAAACACTTGAGTACTTAAAAATCGATCAACTTTCAGAAGAAGTAGAATATAGTTTATAACAATTGCCATAAATTGGAATTCAAAATCTTAACTGTATAAAGATTCCATGTAATACAAACTTATGACCTTAGCAAAATGAGCAAAAGAAAACAACTAATTTTCAATATCGTTTATTAAAAGCGAGTTCAACTGCATTTGTATTAAAATACAATTTTTACGAAAGGTTTTACTGTAGCTTTAAAATTAGTAACTTGCAATTGATTTGTTCATTTTATTGAAATAATTTAAACTAAAATTTTCCTAGACGTGCTGTTATAATCTACGTGCTGCAAAGCCTTAGGAAACTCGCAGTTTTACCCACAAATAGTTTCCCCTTATTAATTCTTTTGAAAATGCAAAATAACAGTGAATAAACAAATTGATAATTCCAATGTTTTTAAATAGCAAAAAAAGAATTATTTTAAAAAAATTGTAATAATTTGAATTTCCAAACTAATTTAATTTATTGCACTTATATAAAATTTATTATTATATGAATTCGTCAATTTAGTTAATTACTTATTTATTTAATTAAGTTTTATTGAATTTGTACTGTTTTTAAAATTTAGTTTCTGAACGAATTTAGTTTAACACGCTGATATATGAGTTTCATTATTCTAAGGAATCTGTGTTTGTTAATAATTTTCATTTATTAACGCAATTTGTCCCGATTTCAGAAAGTGTTTAGTTATAAGCAACTGTTTCATTTTTAAAACAATCACTTTTTTTACATATTAATATTCATTAGTTAAGGTCGTTTGCAATTTCAGAATTGAATTTCAGAGGGAGTTTAATTTAATACACACCAATATCAGTTCGTTTTCAAAAATTCCATACGTCAGTAAATAAAATTTATTAGCTAACTTAGTTTTTAATAATTTCTGATCAAGTTTAATTAATTTACTTAGCATATTTTACTTATACAAGTATATATATCAGTTGCATGAATTAAAAAGTTGTATTAGTTCATTTAGTTTTTAATGATTTTAACACTAAACATACTATATCCGATCAAATGACCGTTAAAAAACTTTTGCATCTAAAATGCGCTTATCATCTTATCGTTCTTGCACGTTTGACTTCATCACTTTTTCTAACTATTATATACAGTTAATATTACATTATTATTTTTTTGTATTTTGTTTGTATCGAATAATACTTGTCGTATACTTATTTCTACGTCCCGCAGTGGACTGATCGTTAAGACACGGTTCCCAGCAGATCACCGAAGTCAAGCATCACTGACTACGGTCAGTGTGCGGGTGGGTGACCACTTGGATCAGTCTGCGTAGGGACCGAGGGTGTGCGGTATTGGTCCTCGTTAAACTGTGCTACCGTAAAGTGCTCGACTTCGCGCGCAGGTCGTCGGGCTACCGAAGCGGGGGTGCCATCCCCTCCACAGAGGATCAAAATTGTGATGGCATGCCTTCGGATCATCCTCCGGGATGTTTCCCAGACCGTCGCCAATAGCCCATTGTGCAGCTCTAGTGCGACGTAAATTAACAACAACAACAACTTATTTCTACCACAAAAGGGTCATTTGACCGGGAGAACAATTTATTGCTTTATAAGGCTAACGGATCAGAAATTACGATGTAACGCGTGTTCAACGCATTGCATTTGATGAGTTGCACATTTCTGCAAAGACTGTTACGTAGTTGGTTCAATCAGAATAACTGTGAATTCCAATTTCAAGAAAGTACCTATCATTTTAGATTGGCATTTTTGTGTCAGAAAAAGTGACAAAAACTAAATGTTTGTGTAAGTAGCTTATATTTTATTTTGATAGCTCTACTTCATTTCTAATTAACTGTTAGTTTTTACCCGGAGAAGTGTCGAAACAATCAAGACAGCACAAGTTCTTAGAAGAAATAATATTAATTACAAAAATAATTATAAGAATTAAAATTCTTATATATTCTTATAATTATAAGAATAATTATAAGAATTATAGAAATAATAATAATTAGAAGAAATATGTTTACGAAAAATGTACAATGGAAACACGCTGTATATGTAAAAAATGCGTTGAGCAATAAATTAAAAATTCTTATTATTTGTGTTTGTGATACATAAAAATTGGCAATATACAATTTTTTTTAATTATAGTAAAGTTTTTTTTTTATAGTTTATTTCCTTCCTAACATCCATATTTTATTCATTCAATCAAGAAATATAAAGTCCAGTCATTTGACAGGCCAAGTTAGAAATAGGTATTAAGTGTTGGTATGGTTAGTGCTAAAACAAATTTTACTGAATAAAGCACTGATATAAGCTTTACTATTATATAAACCCCTTTAATAAAAGTTACGAAGTTTTGCCATTACAAACGAAACAATTCAGCATTATCATAAAAGCCCAAGTTTTAAGTCATAAACCTTATCCCGTTATCCTAATTTGTCTATTTTAAGACGTAACTTTGGAATGGCTTTTATTAAAATATTAATTCCTGAAGTTACATTTCCGCCCGCTCTCAAAGACAGGTAGACAAATGACGGCACGAATTTAATGTCAGAAATCATCTAAAACTTGAGAGCGCCATCTACCGAATGAAAAGAAAGAGTGGAGAAGTGATGTTGTTCTGAGCACCGAGAGGCAAGTCTTCATTTCACATACTTTCGACTAACGAGAGAAGTTCGAAGAGAGAGGCGGCGAAGTTGAAAGAAAAAGAAGATAGAAATTCTGCGTAATTTGATAGGAAATAAATTGGAAAAACTCGCAGAGAAGACATTAAAAGCTTTTCCGGAGTTAAAATTGCATTGATGATAAACTTTCGCATCGGTGTTTAACAATTAAATATTGAAAAATCTACCTTTGTGTTATAAATGTTCGAAAGCATGAACTTATATATAATTAAGCTACGAAAAGGTTGTTAAAAAGATTAATTTTAAATTTTAATGTACAGAACAATGATGAAATTAAATGTACGCCAAAACATTTTGATAATATTTATACGAAATTTATACCACTTGACGAATTTTCATGGAATTTAAAACAATATGATGACGATTTGATTAGTTTAATCATGTTACAGTTTGTTAATAAGAATTAAATAATTTGATCGTGACAAATTATTAACGATGCAATTTGGTAGAAAGAAACTTTTTCTCCAAAAGAAAATGCATGTTATAAATATTTGCAGCTGATTATTTGTAAATTTATCCAACCTAATACTTTGTTCACACGCCAGTCTGTAATGCAACGCTGGATGAGTTTTCCGAATGCAGCGTTACGTATTATATCAAATCTAAGTGTTTTAAAATTTAAGAAAAAAAAGAATAATTTTTGCTTTTTGTGAGAAAGTTTTGATTATCAAACTAATACCTGAGTAGTTTATGAAAACAAAAGTGCTGAAAAGTACAAAAGCAGAAAAACTGTGAAAACGCAAAGCTCGGGAATCTAAACTGTAGTATTTTACATGGATACTGACTTCGAAACATCTCTATACAATAATCGTTGCGTAACATTTGGAATATACAAGTTGGTAAGTACTTTATATTTATCGAAGCTAGTTATTCTGTAGTACATCAATTGCGGTGTTTACGAAACACCCTGTATAAACAGAATTTTACTATTGATAAAAATCTAGTGATGGTGTCGCAGTTTTCCATTATTGTCCGTGCATTTTTATCTTTTTCTTCACGTAAATATTAAATTAATTTTCCTTAATTTATGATAGGAATTCTAGATATAGGTATTAAGAATAGTGATGGCAAAATATTTTGTACATTTGAACAATCCTTATAAGAATTGTCCCCCCCTTACGTGGTCCGTAACTATTTACAAATATTTTTATACGTATGAGTGTAAGTTAATAAATAATGAAGAGTAATAGACTTTAACAGTGTGAATATTTTGTAAATGGATGCAATTTTTATTGAAGTTTAAAATTATGACTAATTATGCTGTTATAAAAGCCGTATCTTTTTTTGCATTTTTCTCTATTTATCATTGAACAAAACCTCTAAACAAAATGCAAAATTTATTATTTGCTGTGCTAGAATTGCCTTGCCGTCAGGTTAGCCGTGGGAGGCTCTCGTGGTCTTCCTCTCCATGTAACTCAAATGCGGGTTAGTTCCATCAAAACGTCCTCCACAAAGGCAAATTTCTCCCGATACTTGATCCAGAAGTTCCCTTGTCTTCTCGATTGGGTTCAAAATTACAAGGCGACGGAGTTGAACATTAGTAGTCGTTAACCTAAATATTGAATCGGCTGTTCAACGACGGTTATTAAATAAAATAAAATAAAAACAAAATAATGAAAAAGTAAACATATTTTTGAAGCAAATTTATCTTTTAAAAAAATTCAGGTAATTTTTGCTCCAATTTATATATTAATTGTAGTACAGAACATAGTTTTGATTTAATAAGAAAGTTAATAGGAATAAAAAAAATTATCATAATATTCAAAACAAGCTAAAGATTACATAATAGTGTTATAATAGTTTTCTCAGTTGAAAACGATGACAAATCATTACTCATCTCTTATTATCTTCTGGCATAAATGAAACCAAGCTGAATGAAAATAATTTTTTAAAGAACCACGTTTTTCAAGTGAACCTAAACAAGAAAAATCGCATTTCAAATTAATTTTACAATAACTTCAATTTGCAATAAGTTCCAGTCATACTCTCACATGTTTTGTTTTAGGTGGGTCAGAAATAATTTCTGAGTTTTATTATTTTTTAGCCCACTCAAAAAGCGTGTTTTTTTATTTATATATTAATTTTTTTGAAAGAGTTATATTGTGTTATATATTTTTATTCATTTTGGCGGAGAAAAAAAAGAACGTTATGTGACTGTTTATTATCGTTCTTGAACAGCCAAGCCAATTTTGGGTTTACGACTACTAATGTTCAGCTCCGTAGCCTTGTTATTTTGAACCCAATGCAGAAGACAATGGAACTCCTGGATCAAGTATTGGAAAAAATTTTGCCCTCGCGGAGGACTTTAAGATGGAACTAACCCGTATTTGCGTTACATGGAGAGGAAATCCTCGAAAACGACCCAGGGCTAGGCTGGCGCAAGGGGACTCTAACCCATGTCCGTCTACCACTCAGAATATTTTACGTTAGCCCTGTGGTCGGTGTGAGCCAGATGCGGAATTCGTATCAACCACCAGAGTAGCTGGGATTCGAACCCAGTTCACCTCATTGGAAGGAGAATGCTCAATCCCTTGAGCCACAATGGCTCTTCGTGTTACAATTGAGATGAGTACTCTGAGCGTAAAATTGTTGTTGTCGTCGGTCATTAATGCACAGGGGGTGCAATTGTTCTCGTTTTACAGTGGCGCCATCTATGGCCAAGAATTCGACTTCTGCCTCACCCATACGTCACACCCGTTTATAGGGTGGGCCCATTTATGCATCCATTCCATCTATATATAAATGCCGTAATTTTGACCTGACCAAAGAACAACCAATCTCCAATTCAGTATAACATTTGTAACATGCATATTCAGTATAACACAGAGATAACATTTGTTATATAAACATGGAAGACTTTGTAACCCGATAGATTTAACGTGCACCAATCACCATTTACTACACGGAGAGCCTTCCGCCGGTTGGATTTGAACTCCCTTTCTCACGAACGCGAGTCCAGCACCCTGCCAACCAGACCATTGGAAACCAACTCAGAGGAAAAGTAAGATAGTCGATCCTTTTTCGACAAAACTTTGCTTGATAAAAAATTATTTTAGAATTCCAATATTTTAATAAGCATAAAATGTAGAAAAATTGTCTACATCTTTACAAAAATAAGAAAATTTAGTTTCATTATGGCTTTAGAAACTGTAAAAATGTGTCTATTGATAAAACTTATTACAAATTGATTCAGAGTCTTCAGAAAGAGAGTTTATTTTAACATACTCATATATTAATATTTTACGATTAATCGATATCGAAGTATATAGCAATCTCGTTCGTTTAAAATATTATATAACGTACATTTTACAATAGTGTTGCATCTTGTAAAGTCATAGATATCTTTTCTGGCATTTAAAATTTTTAAAAACGTTTACAATAAAGGATTTTTGACACATCAAGGATTCTATATCAAGGATAATGGTGTTAGAAACGGTAAAAATGTGTCGTTTGATAAAACTTATTACAATTCGATTCAGAGTTTTCAGAAAAGGAGTTTATTTTTTAACATACTAGTATATTAATATTTTGTAGATTAATCGATACTGAAGTATATACAAATCTCGTTTAAAATATTATTTAACGTTCATTTTACAATAGTGTTGCATCTTGTAAAATCATAGATATCTTTACTGGCATTTAAAATTTTTAAATGCGTTTACAATAAAGGATTTTTGACACATCAAGGATTCTATATCAAGGATAATGGTGTTAGAAACGGTAAAAATGTGTCGTTTGATAAAACTTATTACAATTCGATTCAGAGTTTTCAGAAAAGGAGTTTATTTTTTTAACATACTAGTATATTAATATTTTGTAGATTAATCGATACTGAAGTATATACAAATCTCGTTTAAAATATTATTTAACGCGCATTTTACAATAGTGTTGCATCTTGTAAAATCATAGATATCTTTTCTGGCATTTAAAATTTTTAAATACGTTTACAATAAAGGATTTTTGACATATCAAGGATTCAAAAAATAGAACAATTGTGAAAAAAATTCTGCATTACTTCAAAAAAATTTGCTTCACTCTTTAAAACTTTTTTATTTTATTTTAACTTAGAACATATTATGATAAGGTTAAAAAGCTTTAATATAAAAAAATAAGGCTTTGTTTAAAAAGCTTTAATTTTGAAAAAAAGCTTTAATATAAGGTGAAAAAGCTTTTAAGCTGTTAGTATTCTCGAGTTTCTTTTCGATAATATTGCAATTTTAAGAAAAATTGACGATTTCAATTGAAAATGACCTGATGATATTATTAAAGACTTAATAATCTAGTATCAAAAATCTTTGATTTATTTATCAAATCGTTTCGTTGTGACTCTTACATATTCCCGTTTTGCAAAACTAATCCAAAGCATGCTACTGAAATTAAAATTATACACAGAAATTTTTTTTTCTCGAAAACATTAGTGAAAGATAAAAAACTCTACGTAAATAAGCGATAAGAAACAACGTTGTCGCCAAAACTTAGCCCATAACAATTAAGCACTAAAATTAAAAAGAATAATGTATTAATAATTGAATAATTCTAAAAATCGTAACTTCATGGTTAAGTTGCGTTTTTATTCTTCTATATTTACTTCTAAGATAGATTTAAAAGTTTAAATATATTGGATTGTAGAATGAATAAGATGGAGTAATCGGGATTAATGTGATGTTTTATGGAAAAGAACATTCTGAAAATTCTTTATAAATAAAAAAAAATTATTTTATTTTATAACCGTCGTTGAACAGCCGACCCAATTTTTTGGGTTTACAAATATTAATAACAAGCTTAAGCCCGCCCCGCCCCCGTAAGGGGGCATCCGGGGGCACTCCGAAAGTTCGAAGTGAGCGTAACAGTTCAATTACATGAGCAAACATATTCAAAATTTTCAAATTAGAGTTTTAACAAATAGGTGGAATGTTAAATATGAAATCCAGAAAACGGTGCTACTTAGAAATAAACTAAGGAAACAAACACTACAAAGAAAATAAACAGTAACAATCAGAAGAGATATTGATGTCGCATCTTCAGTAGGGGTGCAAAGTTAATAAAAGGAAACAATTTCACATGGAAAATATAGGATGTTTGTAACTCAGAATATAATTATGGCTGGCACAACAGTACTAAAGTTATCAAATTCCAGTAATTATTATTATTATTTTTTTTNTTTTTCTTTTTTGTATTCTATTTGTTTCTTAATTCTAAGTTGAAGATCCTTTTCAGCTTGAAAAAGTCTTCTTCTTGCTCTCAGCTTCTTTCTTTGTATGGAGAGGTCAACCGACCACCATTTAGGGCTATTTTTATGGCTCTTACATATTTTCTTTTTTGAGCTATGACAAATATTGGTAATCTTCTGAGTTACATCTTCAAGAAAATCGTCCAATTGAGATGTAGTGGTTATCTGTGCTAGAGTGTCTTTCGTCTCCATCACAAGTCTCTTAAAGGATGATGAGAATGTAAAGAGATCCAAGTCATGATAGCTAATGTGTTTCGAAGCAAGAGAGGGTGTTTTTTCCAAAGCTATTGACATAATTATGAGCCTATGGTCACTCATTGTTTCCTCGTCAGATACTTGCCAATCTGTTACCTCGACGTCACCACGGGTAAGTGTGACGTCAATCCAGCTTCGGCCAGTGATTGAGTCAAAGGTTGGAAGAGAGTTAGAATCATTTTCGATATTCATATCCATTAGGATGACAAACTCCACCAATTCTCGACCTCTGTCAAATAGTTACCCTACCACAGGACCTTTACAAATATTAATATTCAACTCCGTAGCCTTGTAACTTTGAACCCAATCCAGAAGACAAGAGAACTCCTGGATCAAGTACTGGGAGAAATTCGC